TTAGAGCGCTTCATGAATCTATTTCTAGTTAATTGCTTAATTTGCCAATAATATACTATCAAGAGGCATTTTACTACTTCACTGTTCCCATAATAGCAGAAGGGACAGATGGGTACAGATATATATATATTTTTTTTGAGACAGACTTCTGTATTAAGGACCAATAATGGTGATATATTTGTCTTGTTTGTTAGGTCTTGTTAATTGCTTTGAGTGCCATCTCTGCATCATGTCGTGAATTCTCCTCCATGCAGTGGTGATACTGATCTTTCACAGCTGCCAATCTCTGAATCAAATTTGAGGCCGGCCAAGGTCCTGACATCAAGTGCTACATTTCTGCCAATATATCTTATAAATGGTTCCAGGTCACAGCGGAAAGTAGCACAGCGAAGGTCATACGTTCTCTCTCAGTAAAGGCTTAGTGGGTGAGCTGCTGTTGCTGGCGTGCTACCAGCTAACCTGGAACATACTAGTGCTAGTCAAGTCACAATCATCACTCCTTTGTGCTCTCAATTAAGGGACACCCCATAGTTTAGTAGTGAGTAGAAGATTGAGATTTCAGACACTAAATATGTTTTTCACCCTATCGTGGACTTGTTGAGGGCACTATATAGAGCATTGGTTCTCAATGTGGAGTCCAGGGATCCTTGAGGAGGTTCCTTGGGGTTTCCCCACCAACAAGAGAAATAATTTATTTTCACCATAATTCCATCCATTAGCAACACAATGACAGAATGTATGACTGTTTTATGCATGGGTTTCAAACACTTTCTGTAATAAAACATCTAAATGCAAAAATCTTATTAGATGAGGGACCCTGGGACAAAATCTAATCAAATGGGGGTCCGTGGTCTAATTTGTGTCAGTTTAAGGGTTCTTAACGGGAAAAAGTTTGAGAACCGCTAATATAGAGGATAAGTGTACTAGCTTTTATTTCCAGACCACATCAGAACATCAGACCTGACTTGAAGTCTTTCTGATATGAAATGAATGAGTTCAATGGGTTCTTACTGTTGTGTACTTGCTGTGTCTATAATACATGTAGATAAGTCATGATAATGGGACCAATGCTTACCATTAAAAGGTTAGTATGGATTTCAGTGGCTCCAGCAGCAGCCACAACACTGAAATGAACTGATCACCACAACATGTTTCAGCTTTAGTGCTGGGCCTTAAAACCAGTGTTTCATTGGTAGCTGTACTCAGTGATTTTTCTTTTTTAATGGAGTTGAGGAGTGTATTCACTCCCCAGCAACCTGAATGTGAAAAGATTGTTGATTGGACATGCTTAAATTCTAGTGATGGCATACACTCAATGGTCACTTCACTTAGCTGCACCTGTACAATGTAATTGAAGCCAATACAATGGGCCCATCTCTCTTTATGAAGCTCATAAGGGTCAGGTTCTGTTTACACTGTGGAAAAAGTGTAGATTCAATTATATGTTTATTAGTTATGTCATAGTTGAAGGTAATGTTGAAATGCACCGTATCATATTGAGAGGTGTTTCTATTTCTTACATACTGTACATAAGGGGGCAGAATATTAGGAACACCTCTGTATATAATGCAGTCCCAACAGCTGTATTGTATTGTATTAGACTGCACAAAGTGGACACTGAGATTATGCACTTTCATCCCGATGTCTTTTTGTCTTATGTCATGTGAAATGAACAGGCTTGCACGTTTGTAAAGTTATGAGAGAGATACTTCAGGGGCCAGTATTTCTTCACTTTTAGTCCCAAGTATGGATTAAGCTCCAAAATCCTACATTTCCCACAATACATCTGAAGACATCTGTGATGTCACTTGAGTAATTTCGTCAGACTTGATAGAGCTCCTCCAGAGCCTCAGGACACATACACATTCTTTCTACCAGATGAAAAATAACACTATGTTGCAAAGTTTAAGAAAACGAGCAAGTAACCACGACCACCAAAACCTGAACTGCACACGGTACACCATCTTATTGGAAGACTGGAAAAGTGGCATTACTTGGCAGACATATTTGGATCAACTTTCTGTCTCTCCCTCTCTTCCAGCTAATTCTGTTCTCTTAGCTATACTCTGTGGATGTAATTAAGTAAGCTTAGCCTAGGTCCACAATGCAGTGTAGGACTTGGACTTTCTATAATTAGACTCCTGGAAAGAGCTTTATCTAAGACAGTGGGCTTTACAGATGACATTTCACTTTTCAGTCGGATAACAGGACAAGACAGGACAAATGGTTTACAGACAGTTCTCCTTCCAGGAGCGTGTTTTTCTCTTTAGCTTGTGATGGTGATGAGTATGAAGGTGTTGTTGATGAGGGAGAAAGTCTCTGCATACACCAGTTTCCTTGCCCTAGATTTATCCAATGTTCATTTTTAGTCGAAGCAGAGTTTTCTTTGTACAGAACGTGTGTCTGAAATTTTTTGGAAGCAAATTTCTAATTTTTTAGTAAAGCGTTCCACCCGCCCCAGAGAGACAAGAGCCTCACAGGCACACGCAACACATCCATGACCTCTCTGAGGAAATCAAACCAATTTGCCTGGCAGATTGCATTTGATCTTTCTCTCAACCGTCCCAATCATCGCGGCCCGTGTTGCCTCCAGTATGGTGCCTCCTCGCCATCGCTTTACCTGAACTCCTTATCTGTTTTCTTCCCCCAAAAGCAAAATTGAAACAAGCACGGATTAACTCAATGTCATGGCAGCTTTGTCCCTGGGATAATGGGGGACAATGAGCTCTGCGGTGGCAGCAGTAAATGATGCCAATTTTCTCACACGGTGAGAGAGAGAGAGAGAGAGAGAGAGAGAGAGAGAGAGAGAGAGAACAAGAGAGGCAGAGAGTTTGGGGAGATGGCTTAAGACTTTAATCCAACTCTGTAAATCGGAACGCTCTAGGTTTTGCTGAGTGTTTTTCCCGCTGAAGTGATTTATATCATCCAATCATTGCGGGGTAAGCAGCACACATGCTCGCAGAAGATATGTGATGCTGTGGTTTTTAGAGGATTAGGTGAGGAATGTCACATTTTTGAGAAAAGAGAGTTTGACATGTTTTGTCTCAGCGGGATAAAAAGCTTTTCTCTTAGTGCAAAGTATGAAGACAAAATTCATCCATACTAGAGATGCGTCGATGCAATTTTCTTAGCCAACCAAAAATAGCCAGTCTGACTTTCCCGAAATTTCCATAAATACCTGTACATCAGAAATATGTTAACAAATAAAACAGCCGCGACATTAAAACAGGTAACAGGTTTTAACGTCGCTGTTAGGGTCTGATCGGTGTATATCCGTAGCCTGTTTTGAAAGAGCTGATTCTGAACTGTCAGTGGTGTGATTTAAAAACTATATTGTAGTCAATTATTTTCCAAGTCAGAGAAACACACCAATCAGCCACAACGTTAAAACCTTTCATCTGTTTTTTTTAGTTTTTTTTTATGCTTATCCGAGGATGGGGTCAAGCAAAAGTATTCCAGACATCCCTCTCCGGCTCCTCCTGGGGGATCCTGAAATGCTCCCAGGCCAGATGAGATATATAATCTCTCCAGCGTGTTCTGGCTCTACCCCGAGGGCCACCTACCAGTTGTTCGTGCCTGGAAGAGATCCAATGGAAGGTGCCCGCAATGAATGGCCACCGTAACATGTTGGAGGGGTTCCTGTGTCTCTGTGATCCTGGGAGCTGTGTTGTCGGAGGAATTAGCCACTGATGGAGTCTCCCATGGCAAATTGGTTCCAGGGGAGAGGCCAGGCTAAGAGTGATTCAAAACCCACCTGACGAAAGGCGCTTTTCAGGGGAAACCGGGGCACCCCCTCTGGAGCCAGATCTGGAAGGGGAGCTCACCGGTAAGCATAAGGGTAACGGGTCTTAGCCCATGGGGCTGAAGAAATTAAACGGAGCTACCTCCCTGTGGGGCCACCAGCTGCCTGGGACAGACATTGGGTCGGGGTGCAATGGATGCCTGAGGGCTGGCTCGGTTGGGGGCCTGGGCATGCCGATCCCTGACTTCATAGACTAATATTAAAACCAGTTACCTGTTTTATTGTTGTGGCTGATCAGTCTATATTCATGTGCATATTATATCTAATACATTATCTTCTAATATATCACTTTAAAGAGACAGTTTGGGTTTTTTGCCGTCGGGTTGTCATGCATAGTCCTGAGCAGTGCGTTCCCAGGCAGGAGATACGACCAGACTAGCAGAGCTAAGTGTTGCTGCGCACAGGGCCACCAGAAAAAAAAACCTGTTTCACACACTTTTAAAAAAACACCCATCCAAACAATTCCATGTCCGTTTAAATGTACATTTCAAATAGAAGATTTTCGGCGGTTTATCTTCCCGTGAAAACAGCGCTTTCCTTTGTATTACGCCGCAGCCGCAGGTCAGCCGAGTAAATCAGAAAGCGGCGTGAAATACAGTGCACTGTGTAGGTGCGCTTGGATGTAGGAATACGGAAGTTCAGCGGTTGAAAGTGCCACAGCAACACATCGCTCTACCACTCTGCAGGGTGCTCCCGGTCGGCTCTCCAAAATGGGAGCGCGCTGCTCAAGATCTAATGCAGGTAATGTACCGACTACGCATAAGTACCTCACACAACCCCACATAAAAAGAACCCCCAAACTGTCCCTTTAAGTGCATATAAACTGCCTGTTGGATCAGTGTTCTGTCATCATAATGCTAATGGATAAGCTAACAAAATCCCTGTGTTCTCCCTCTGTTTTAAAACAAGATGTGATGAAAAATATAATATGTTTCATTCACAAATGAAGCAAACAGTTACAAGTAAACATTCTGAAACAAGTGTAAATGACACAGCAGTAACAGGAAGGTGCCAGTCCGATGGGAAAATGTGGTTCGGATGATGGCATCTGTACCTCGATACCATTTTGTCACCAGGAGGATGATTTAGAAAACCACATACGGTGCATGATGTCGGGGGATCATTACATGAGGATGCACATGAATGGATGTCAGCGTGAATATGGCATCTATTCTCTTTTCAGACAAATGGTACTCACAGTAATAGGATCAGCTGCTCGGTCAGGTCAGGTACCCAAAAACATATCGATTCATGGCAAGAAGGTCTGATTGCAGTACGACACCTGCTCTTGGTAGTATAGTCACATTTGTCTCTGTTGGGTCTCTCAGGTCACCTAAAAAAGAGAGGGGGGGTGAAGTTAATGAAAGCAAATGAACAAAACTTAATTGGAAAGTTCTATCATTTCTATCATGAGTGTTCTGTTTATTTTCTGTCTTTGTAATTAAATACAGAAAGATGTGACATTTAAAATCATTTTGTTGATTCGGCTTGTCCTGAGTTGTATCTGGTACAAGCACATGGTCGGCCATGACCACAGTGGAATTAAAACATCAAACATTTAAACTATAGTTCAGAAAATACAGAGTTTTGGCTCTCAGTTCAGAATGACACCCCCTCTCAGTCTTTGATTTCAGTCTGTTGAATTAGGGGATGAGTGAGTGTATTCGGAGGGAACAATACAGATAAGGACATCGTGGTCAGACAGAGACAGATTCAAATCCATGATGTTTTCAGACGAGTTTTCAAAGTCGTCCTGTGACAGAATCTGTTTTTTGTTTTTTTGGGTTTTTTTTCAGTTTTAAGGAAGGAGGGAATAGCTGGTGTCTAATAATGCTGCATTAATACATCTCCTCATTAAAATTCTGCAACCATGTCAGAGCACATGTCCTCCCAGAACTCACTGCTGCTTCTCATCCTTGTGGGAGAAGATAAAAGCACACACGGAGAGAAAGGTAGACACAACAAGGTTTCATAATGTTTATTTTGGTAAAAAAAAAAAAAAAAAAGAAAAACGGTGTGTTCTAGCTACAGGCTGTGGCGACCGAGGTGAATAAACAGAAGCAATTTGGAAGTCTCAATGCAATTAGTGCTCTCTTTACAGAACAATATATCTTTCTTCTTAAGCTCTGCATCTGCCAGACGTCTGTCTTTGCCAAATCACACGGTCGGGGTAGAACACTAAATGACACAAAATCTCACTGGCTCAAAGAGAAGAAGCTGCGGTCTCATGGCGATGGACAAGAGATGGCAAATTAAATGGTGTCTGTGTGATACTGCATAATAAGCACACATCAGCGGTCTCGCATAATAATAAAAAAGCAGACGCCACTTCCCCACGCACAAGTTAGGATTTATTAAAAAAAAAAAAAAAAAACTTAATATCATGACTTAAAGATCCACTTTATAACATTCAATCCAGCAGTGTTATTTGTGCTTGTGCTAGTGAGCCATAACTACTCTATAAGCACTTCCCAATTGTAGGAGATATAAGACGACTCAAATCTCAAACCAAATTCTGCTTTGTGTTTCATCAGCCGCTCTCACCGTCATATTCCTGACAGTTGAGGAGCCATTTTGGCTTTTGTGCGCACATACTCTTATACTATGAATCCTATACACTGTTTTGTAAATGAGGCGCCTGGACTGTCTCCTTAAAAAAAAAAAAAAAAAAAAAGATTAAATGAACTCTCACCATTACCGCAGCATCTCCAGTAACCGGCTGCTGTTTAATTACCTGCTGATAATAATTCAGTGTCATACCTGCTGTTTCATAACGCTACCTGCTCTCCATTTAAGATGGGTCCCCATCGTTGCCAATTAAAACTCTTCACAGCGAAGTCATGGTTCATGCAGACAGACTGGGACATCGTTCCACATTGCTATTGAGTTTATCACTGTTCATCGCTTGGAGCGCCACAAACAAAGAGGTGCCACACATCTGTTTATTTGTGGCGGAGATGGAAATCACTGAGATTCAAAAGAAAGGCAAAGCTATCTGCATGGCCACATAACCACGAGCCTGATAATGAGTGGGTTTCCACTTCATGATTCACTCGTGTTCGTTTTAGTTTTCTCTTTGGTCATGGTTGTTATTTTCCCCAAACCAATCAGTAATGACAAATATATCCATCGCATTAAGCTTCTCATTGTGACAGAAGCAAATTCCTTGTCTTTTTAAACATCTTCATTAAATTCTAATTTAAAAACTCCAATTCCAAGTGATGTATTGCTAAGGGGGACAGTGTGCACTCAGTTGTCTTAAAAGGTCACGTCAGCCTTTGCAAAACAAGCAAAAAATAATTAAATAGCAAAATATAAATAAAATTGTCTCTTTCTTCCCATCGTAGATTATTTTTGCTTGTTTATTTTGCAAAGGTTGAACTGACCCTTTAAGACAGCTGAGTACATACCGTCCCTCAAAGCCATTACTTGGACTTGGAGTTTATACATTAGAATGAGATGAATTGGTTTAAAAAAAAAAAAAAAAAAAAAAAAAAAAAAACTTTTAAAGACATGATTTCCTGTTATCATGGCATGTGATTCCTGCCTCTGCAGGAAATCCTCCCAGAATCCCATTGACGAGCTCTTTCTGGAATGCGGGGTGTTACTAAGCCACAGAGATTTCCTGACTTCCCTGGTTGTAGCGGCTAGCTGTTTGCCAAGTCCACCTCTGCTTTGATTCTGGCAACAGAATACGCTTAATGAGATTCCACAGCCTGCGAGGCAGCGTTCTCCATCCCTCCCTATAACACACCTACAGCAGACCCGAGCAGCCCACACTTTCCTCGTGGTGAGCTTAACATTGTTCGAGTGCAAACAGGCATGAAGCTGCAAAAGTTCAACCAGAATTCAGACAGTTACAATTTCACGCTGTATAATTGAGACGCTGCTGTTGGCATACGTGTCGCGTAGGTCATCAGCTGCTGTCGCTCTACATTACGGTTGATGTAACACAGTGAAATGTGGCACAGTGGGGAAAAGAAGGGTTTCTTAAAGTGTGTGTGGACTCTGTGTTCCTGGTTCATTTTCCAGCTCCTCCTGGTTGTGTGTTCAAGATGTATTTTAATGCAGACCAACGTGAAGTTACACATGGAGATGAGAAGCCTTGGAAGGTGATGAATATGTAAATCTTGACATGTCCACCCTAAGGTTGTAACGCACAAACTTACACTGTGCCCTGTGGCTCTTCTCATTATACACCCCAAATGCCACAATACTGTGGTGAATATGATAAAATTATTAATTATGAAATAAGCACATTAAATTAAACAACATAAAATTATCACAAAATACATAAATGAAACAATTTGTTGTAAAATAATTCAACTGTTATTACATTTTTCATAATAAGAGAATTTTGCAGGAGTTTTTTTATATAATGTCTTTTTTTCCATAATGTCACGTTTTATTTCATTCTCTGATTTTCATGTGGTGCTGTCACCTTAACAGGCTCAACAACTGCTACCAGATCCAACCCGTTAACTCCTGTTTGCTAAGACACCAACGACACCAAAGTAATCCTGATTTCTGCTGTAGATAAAGTCCAGAGACACAGTGACTAAAGCTGTGTTCCAATAATGTGGGAGGGAAGACCATAATGGGAAAGATTCCTATATGTTCATGGCTTGTTAGTGTTTTCGTAATCGGTCAGTCTTCTTGTGCTACTGCTTTTCATTCATTACTGGAGATTCCACATGTTATAATCAATATCCACTATCAAAATAAAATAGAATGACGCAAGCGTTAGCTACATTTCTTCAAAAAAATGTCATACTACTACAAGCAAATTTTTGACTAAAGAAAAATAATGTTAATTAATGGCTACTTTAGAGGGGTTTCATTTGACATGTAATAACGTTGAGTGATGATTGTTTTACAGCAGAGTTGCACGTGTGAGGGTTAAAAATACTGGGCTTGTTCAAAACGATATACCAATACAATTTCAAAATTGAGTTACCTACACTGGATTTGCCGGCACTTGCGTACTTCTTATTGCCAAGTTGAATAACGGTTCTTTCCACTTAGCTGCTTGTTATTATGGTTTAAATGGTATCGATACGATAGGACTCCAGCAGTGTTGAGAAGTCGAGTCACTAGAACCTCAAATCGAGTCTCAAGTCCCCAGTGTTCGAGTCTGGATCCAAGTCCGAGTCACGAAAGAAGAGTCCAAGTCGAGTCTGAAATCGAATCCCCATTAGTCCAGCACAGTCAAAGAGCTGTCGTACGCAGACATTAAACACAAATGACACAGCTCAAAGGGAGTTTATTTACTGCCTGTCACAATCGCCAATTAAACGCACTACTAAAAAAAAAGTCGAAGTCTTCAACTCTAATTTAATTTCCGAGCCAGACTCAAACTCGAGCACTGACTGCATTCTAAATCATCAATGCTCAAGACCAAGTCAAGTCATCAGACCTGAAAATCAGTGGCATGAAACTGCCACTATGACATTATCAAATGATTTCCCAAGTTATTGACTCATTTATATATTTTACACAATTTATGTCATCCTGAACACCTTGGGGTTCCATATGATACCTGAGGCCCTGGCTGTTTCTTGATGTAAAATGAAGAGTGTGTGTGCTCATAAATGTCAGATAACTCAAAGACTTGAGCTCCTTGAGCGCCTAAACACAAATAAATTGAGCCGTGTTGTTACTTTATTCGAAAGTTGCATCGAAGCAATCAATCAAGAAGGCCTTCATGTCATTTATGTACTCTTTAAGGGGTCAATCAAGGTGGGTGGATGATGCCAAGAAATCGTTTAAATGAGTGTTTAAGCTCTGTGCGTCCAGAGTTACTGATGAGCTGGATCGCACAACCAACAGCCCCGAGCATTAAGGATTCCATTCACAAGAATACAGCGGTATGAGAGTCGCAGAGACACTTGTACATGCCAGAAAATACCAAACACAGATGTGTACGCACACAGCTGTCTATAGTACATTCATTAGATTGCTAAATGAGATCATCAGAGACCATCACCCATTACAGCAAACCCACACACCGTCGCTCCATATGGTCAATTTCAGTGTTGTTAGTCATCTGATCTGAGCCACAGAAAACACATCTGATCCCAAACCAAAGCAACAACTGGACTTCTACAAGTAGTGAGCAGACTGCTGGGTTCCCCTGGCGTTAGATTTCATTTAGTCTTCTTGCATATTAGTTACTGAGAGAAACATGTATTTAAAAGAAGCGAGGGACCGTTCCAGATCCACATATAAACCTTCTTTACTTTCAGGGGAAATTAAGTTTTTTTTTTGTTTTTTTTTTAAGAAGCCTTTACATATTTCAAACATGTGTTGCTCCTGATGTTCTGGGAATATCAC